AGGCTGAGGCTGTTAGCAAGGTTAGCATGACCGAGACTTACTTCAACAGCAATAGCTAGGCTGAGGCTGTTAGCAAGGTTAGCATGACCGAGACTTACTTCAACAGCAATAGCTAGGCTGAGGCTGTTAGCAAGGTTAGCATGACCAATAAAGAGACACTAATAATTTAGTTCATTTCGTTCAGTTGTCGCTCGATTAGCTGATGTTTTCTTACGTCGACTTGATTAATATCGTTGAGGACTAGAAGAAACTCTCCGCACCTTCTGCCAGACGCCGTCCAGACGAAGAGTCGTGACTGAAACACACTGACTCTCCTACCGACTGTCGGAGATTTTCAGGGACATTCTTTCCGTATTAAAGCGCATTAAAACAGGTTTAAAACACACAAATCCACCTGCTGTTATTGACGACGAGTGGCAGTTAATCCACAGCTAGCCTGTGGATTCATCGGATTACAATCGTTTAATCGTTGGACGTCCCTACTAATTACAGATTATTACTGAAAGATAATGAGCTTCAAAACAAAATACTAAATATATCTACACCACCCGAGAATATTACAGTCACCTGTACATGGGGTGTAAGGAAAATATTGATACGCAAAAGTATCGCGATATCTTCTCTCTCCTGATCCCGTATCGATCTCCTCAGTCATCAGTTATTGATATACGTATTATTGATCAGTTATTGTATACATATATATGTATTTGTATATATATGTATATATGTATATATGTATATTTGTATATATGTATATATGTATATATCTGTATATATACATATATACAAATATACATATATACAAATATACATATATACAAATATACATATATACATATACATATATATAAATATACGTATATATACATATATATATACATATATGCATATATACATAAATATACATATATACATATACATATATACCTATATACATATATAGATATATATATACATATACATATATATAAATATACGTATATATACATATATGCATATATACATAAATATACATATATACATATTTATGTATACATATATACATATTTATGTATACATATATACATATATATGTATATATATATCTATATATGTATATAGGTATATATGTATATGTATATATGTATACATAAATATGTATATATGTATATTTGTATATATGTATATTTGTATATATGTATATTTATGTATATATGCATATATGTATATATACATATATACCTATATACATATATATATATATATATATTTGGCACAGAGGCAATGTCTCTGTCATTGATGTGGAGCCCCAGGGTTCACCTCCTGGGCAAGTTCGAATCCCACTTAGGGCGGTTAGCGCCTCCCAGTGGATTCACCTCCTGCAGGTGGTGCAGGTGTTTGGGTGGGGGTTGGTACGGTGCAGTGTGATTTGGGTGGCGGTCGTGGAGACTGCTGCCCCCGCGACCTGGTATTGGATCTATTTTAAACAGCTCACACGACTCTAATTGTGTTACTGCAGTATTCGACAGCATCCATCCAGACCTGCTCTGACTCCCCAACAGGTGACGCTGTCGTGTTTCCCCACTGTGTGGCACCAAAATGTATCTCATAAAAAAAAAAAAGCCATTAGAATTTGAACAACTTGCGTTGCTCCCCTGAGCTCTCGAGGCCAAGGAATAACAAAAGCGGAGGAAGTCTCGGCTCCTTACCTCTGATTGGCTGTTAGTTATTCCGGCATATAGTGGAAGTGAAGCCCCATTAGTTCTAGGCTATTTAACGCTCCCACGCCACGTTTTCCGGCCAAACGTTACAAGACAGATAAGCCGGGCCGTCTCACCTCCGGCGGTCGGTTTGAGAAACGCCGCGCGGCAGAAAATCGGACAAACAGCTGATCTTCCCGTGTACCTCGGGGCGAGAACAAACAAGGCCCCTTTTTTTTTTTTTTTTCAACTCCCTGACATAAAACATGTCCTGCAGTGATTAATGGAGTCGTCCCAGACCGCAGGCCTAGACCGCAGGGGGATAGAACATTCTCCCGGATTCTAATGACACGACGTGACGGCCGACAGGAGGCGGTTCTCTTAATCGCTCTTCACTGTCGAAGCAAAAGAGTTACAGCTGGTTACGAGGAGAGACAGGAGGAGACGGAGGAGGAGGAGGAGGAGGAGGACGCCTGGTTTGAGACCGAAGTAAAATCGCATATTTAGAGAGAGAGAGAGAAAAAAAAGGCTAATTAAAAAAAATGAGCAAATTGACTTGTCTTCCTCCCGAGGAGTTTGTGTCTTAATCCGTCCTGACGCGCAGTGGCTAAGACGTGTGGCGTACGGTGAGAATTTTAGTGAGGAATTTTCACGAGAATGATATTGATATACATATTATTGATCAGCTATTGAATACATATATATGTATATATGTGTATATGTATATATATGTATGTATATATATGTATATATGTATATATAGGGAAAATTCCACATTAAAATTCTCACCAGACGCCACGCGTCTTCATATATACATACACACACATATATATACATATATATACATACATATATATACATATATACATATACAAATATATGTATATTTACACATATATACATATATACATACATATATATACATATACATATATGTATATTTACACATATATACATATATACATATACAAATATATGTATATTTACACATATATACATATATACATATATACACATATATGTATTCAATAACTGATCAATAATATGTATATCAATATCATTCTAGTGAAAGACGCCACACGTCTTAGCCACTGCGTGTCATCATATATACATACATATATACGTATATACATATATATACTTACACATATATACATATATACACATATATGTATTCAATAACTGATCAATAATATGTATATCAATATCATTCTAGTGAAAGACGCCACACGTCTTAGCCACTGCGTGTCATCATATATACATACATATATATATATATATATATACAGTATATACTTATACATATATATATATATATATATATGTATAAGTATATACTGTATATATATATATATATATATACAGTATATACTTATACATATATATATATATATATATACAGTATATACTTATACATATATATATATATATATATATGTATGTATATATGATGACACGCAGTGGCTAAGACGTGTGGCGTCCGGTGAGAACTTTCACTAGCGGAGCTGTCTCTAAATGACCGACCGCGTCTAAGGAACGCACCCAGGCCAAGCATCGGGGAAGGATGGTAGGAATAAATAATGAATAACAACAACAACAAAAAAAAAAACCCGTCATCAATAGATAAATAATACATCAATAAAGATGAGAAGCAGATTCATCTCTGCAGACTTCCACGTCCACAGAGCGAAAGCCACTCTTAGCAACGTACCGTAACAGTCGACGCCTCCGTCCGGTTCTTATAAAGACTCGATCGATCGATCGATCGCATTATATCTGATACTGACGTTTTATCGAACTGATCCAAAGCCAGAAGTTTCTTAACTTTACTACTTCACTCTAGTCTCATCACTGCCCCCTACAGGCTGGAGAGTGCACTGATTTTTCTTTTTTTTTTGTTATGAATTAATTTGACAAGTTGACGTCCAAACCCTAATGAATACATAATTAATTTATTAATCTGTCTCCTAGCTTTTTAACAATTTAGCAGATCGGGACCTTGCGATTAGCGTTAATATTTTCAAAATAGACACTGTGGAGAGACGAAAGTCGCTCTCCCCCGTGACCATATATGGTGCCTGAGGCTGCTACTGTTATGTGTCACAAGTCTACGAGGTTTGTTGCCCACACTGTTTTCTAAAAGAAGGTTTAAAAAAAAAGAAAAAAAGAATTTCGTCGTGAAATGTCGGCCGTGCACTGGAGTCAAGTGCATTCGGGACGGGGGGGCGATTCGAGGATAAATGTTAGTTAGCTCATCAGTGAGCTTGTTGGTGTCAAGTATGAAAAAATAAACCCGATTTGTATGGGATGCATTTACTGTACGGGGGAGCGTAGTAGGAGGAGCGGCGACAGCTTCCCCCAGCTAATGGTGTGGTTGTTTTATTTATTTATTTATTTTTAAAGTAATAAAACTGCATGATTCACAACAACAGATGGGATCTCATACGGAACGGAACGAACCGGCCATATTGAACGAAGAGCTGCTACTGCCCTGACCTTCGTTTCCTAATCCCCCTAAAACACGCAGACGGACGGACAAGGAATGGGGGAAAGTACATCTGTCCACAGACTGTAAGAAAGTTACCTCTCATGTCCTGCTGACGGAACTTTCCCCCGGAGCTCCGCGGTCATACCTCACATTCCCTCGAGCCCGAAATGGTGTACGTGTACGGCCCTGTCCCGTTTACCAGCACGTCCGTTGTCTCTGAGTGCGAAGGTTTGTAGTCCACGTAGTACTCTTGCAGTGGCGAACTCAGGGGGCGCTCTGTCTCCCTGGCCTTTTTCTGCCGCTTATTGACCATGGAGCGCTGAAGCTGAAGCTGCTTGATACTGCCGGGATAGCGCTTCCGCGAGACGTAGACCACCAGCAGAATGAAGGCCGCAGATAAGAGGAGGGCCACGCTCCCTCCGATGACCTTATGGAAAAACACATACCGAGTGTCCGGCACCGGGAGGGTGGGGGAGACCACGGTAGGAGCCTGGGACACGGTGGCGTTCCAGGTCGTCTTTACATCCACGACGGTCTGGGTAGAAAGGGGCAACAGCAGCTCGGGCTTGAATCTTGCGCTGGGGGGTGGGGTTGTGGTTGTGGTGGTGGTGGCGGGAGACGGCGTTGCAGTGCAGATGTTGTACGTCTCCACCATGTCGTTCGCCTTCTCTCCTTGCGCTTCCTTTGGACCCGCGCAGATCATCGTGGTCTCCTTGTTACCCTTGAACGCTTTGAGCCAAGCCACCAGGGGGCATATGTTTGCATTGCAGTACCACAGATTGCCCGCCAGGCTGATGGTGGTGAGGGAGATCCAAGCCTCCACCGTCTGCTGGGAGACATTGCTGAGTTTGTTGGAGTCCACATTCAGAGTCTGGAGGTTAGGCAGGCAGTGAAACGTACCGGGGTCCAGGACTTGAAGATCGTTCCCTGAAAGATCCAGCTTTTGCAGGGAGGTCCACATCCAAGACAAGCCCTGAGTCAGCACTTTGATACGGTTCCACTGCAGGTAGAGCGCCCTCAGGTGAGTCAGCCGGGGAAAATGAGCGAAATTAATCTTCGAAAACTGGTTGTGCTCCAGGTGCAGCTCCACGAGCTTCAGGAGTCCGGCGAAAGTGTTGCGCGTCAGGCTCCGTAGCCGGTTGTAGCCGATGTCGAGGAACTCCAGGTTGCGACAGTCGAGGAAAACTCGCATCGGGACGGTTTTCAACGAGTTCGACCTCATGTGCAAACTCAGCAGTTTTCTCAGACCCAAAAACTGGTAGGGCTGGAGAACCTGCAGTTTGTTGTAGGAAAGGTCCAGGTTGCGTAAATTGGGAACGTCGTGAAAAGTGTTATTTTCCAGTCGGGCAATTTTGTTGGAGCTGAGAATCAGTTCTTTCAGCCGCCGTATACCGTGCAACGACTGCCCGTCCACCGCGCTGATGTAGTTGTGGTCCAGGTAGAGCCACACCAGTTGACCCAGCCCCGCGAACTGGCGGGCTCTCAGGCTAGCCAGGCTGTTGTAACGTAGGGACAGGCCCTGCGTGCTCGCCGACACGTTTTCTGGCACGTCGTGGAAGGCGCTGGACTCGCAGTAGATGATCTTCCCGTCACACCGACAGCTCTGAGGGCAGGGACGCTCACGGACGCCGGTCGGCGCGGCCAACAGCCAGGTCGGCACCGCCGCTGCGAACACCAGCCACGTGGAAAGCACCAGGAGTCCTGCGGAAGCACAGGTTTGACAGGTGAGGAAGCAGATCGGGCAGAAACGGTGCTCGCCGAGTGGAACCACGGCAACTGCTGAACGGTATATGATTAAACTAAGAAGCAGATGCTTTTTACCCCCCCCCCCTTTACCGGCTAACGCTCTGCGTAACAGGAAGCGAGGTTTGTACAACAGCCTAAATATCCTTAGTATGTCTTTATTTATAGCTAGTCTACAGAGAGCCTTTCTTGTCAGGACGATCGTGCGGCAAAACCCGAACCTCCTGTCTTATTAGAACCAGGTTCTGTTGTCAAAGACTGGTCCTTAAAGCCCAGTGGTTCTTGGAGAGGCAGTAGAAATAGGACATATATTTATACACATATATTTGTCCCGGTGCAGTTAGTATCATAGACAATATGGTTTTTTTTTTTTTTTAAATCTCATCCATGTAAAAACCCACATCCTGAACTCTGTGACCGTGACCCAGAACCTCAGTCCAAACACTGGTTCGGTAAAGTTGTCTGTGGACATGCTGGAGTCCAAATTCACAGAAACCAATTTTGACCTGAAAATAATAA